ATGATCACAACCAATTAACTATTATCAGATGACACCCTCGAACCCCCCGTCTCTCCATTCTTAAAACTCATTGAATTTTCAGAAATCAATTATCCATTTTTCAATTTGGCAAATCACCCACCTTTTTCGTTTACTTTCCCTAATTAATTGTTTCGGTTTTATTTCTTATCTCGTCTGGATACAAACTCTCAGTCAACGGATTTTCTTTTCTCCACTCTTATTTAAATCCTGATCAAGCTATAAACGTCTGAAAGTTGGTACTGATCTGTTTGTTCAAAAATCTTGATCAAGTTAGCCCACATAGCAATCTCGGGTTTTTTCTGAGATCAAAGTTTACTGTGATTAAGAATCAAAATTTTCTGCTGGGCTTGTTCTTGAATTTGCTTGGAATTCTTTAAACCTCCTTTTACCAGTATTCTGATCTGGGACTAGCTCGGATTATCTGTTTTTCCCAGAAATTTGAACGAGCTCATATTGCAATTCTGGGTCTTTTTAAAATCGAAGCTTTACTGTAATCAAGAATCAATATTTTTTTGCTGGGTTTTCATTTTTTTTTTCCTGGTTTTCATCAAAATTCTGATCCGTGATTAGCCCAGATTACTTTAGAGCTATGAATTTCAGAAGCATGGAAGAATTCTGGCCGTTTTATATGAGTCAGCACTCAAAACCAGCCACAAGACGTTGGCATTTTGTGGGCACTTTGGGTAGTATTCTGTGCTTGGTATACTCGGTGTTTTTCGATTGGCGGTGCCTGATTCTCGCGCCTTTGTTTGGTTACTCTTTGGCTTGGTATAGCCATTTCTTTGTTGAAAGGAATGTTCCAGCAACTTTTGGGCACCCCTTTTGGTCTCTGCTATGTGATTGGAAGATGTTTGCCTTGATGCTTACTGGCCAAATGGATAGAGAAATCAAGAGGCTTGGTAAGAGGCCTATATTGCAAGCCTACTGATTTTAGTTTGTTTAGAAGATATATTTTTAATAGCATGTGAACCTTTCTATATTTTGTTCAAACTTTACATATTGTCTTTTCTGTTCTTTTAAACGGACTCGGCGATCTTGTAGTACTCTTATGTTGAAGCTTGTAATTTCTTTATGTTTCAATTAAAGCTTTCGAGGGATTTCAATGTTGGACACACAAACCTAATAATACTGCGCACTTACTCCCTCGACCTAATATTTATATATTAAGCCTTGTATACATGTATTAGGTCGTCCTAATATTGCCGCATATAGATAGGATTATTTAGGGCGAGACAGAGAGGCGTGAGATTACTGTAACACGATTGTAGTCTTTTTTCTTCTTCAAAGTAAAAACTCTGGCGTTGAGTGGATTCAGACGGCGAACCACTATAATCTGCATTTTTCAGATATCACTTCACTTAATAGTGGTTTCTCCTGATCGGAATCTTTATCCCTAACATTCAAGTATAGCTGCTTTTAGGTTAAACTCGAGACCATATCATCTCCATTAGGGCTATGTTCTTATGTGTTTATATGGAGTAAGCTTTTCTCAGCTTCAAGAATGTATTATGAAGATTTCATTTGTAATTTGAAATGGTTGTCGTTCTATAATCATTTGTCGATTTTAGATTTTTATGTCCTACAACTCACTTCTTGCCTCAGAGGTGATTACATCAGTAAACAGAAGTCTAGGGAATTGGACCAACCTGCCCAACACAAAACAGTTGGAGGGAAGTACAAGGATTTTTTTGTGAATGATCCTCCCACAGCAAATATAGCGTTCAATTGTGTTTAGATTCTTGAATACTCGCAGCATGGTAGTTTCCAGTTTAACTCCAACAAGTGGTCCGGACCTGTGTTGGAAATTGCTCTTGTTCATTTCCCTGCATAGCATCAGCCGAGAGAGAACCTCAAACGTGAGGTGTTGAAATTTTATCCTGGAAACATCTGAATCATATTTCTGTTGTGAAGGAGACCTTATATGGTGCCATTAACTTGTAGTATAATTTCTGCGGGAAAGGGGCAGGAGAAGAACAGATTATCCATATTCTTATTACTCTGAACACACACAATAGTAGTACTATGCCAGGATGGAAGGATAAATGTTTATTGCAGGACTTTTCTATAAAGTTGAAGGTTATCCACAGAAGGCTTAATCAATGAACTTGTCTTCAAAGGTTGAGCAAAAACGACATGGACACCTCTCTCCCTTCTGCTTTTCATACTCTACATCAGATTTCAAGAATTTCACTCACAGTCACCCCAGATTCTTGTTTACTTAATTCACTCTTCAACAACTAGATATATATGCATTAAGCTTCAATATAGTATTGAAGTTATGTTCTATTTGAGATTAGGCCTAATTCTATACTTCTGTTGGGTGCTTCTGTCAGAGTAGGGTGGATTTAGAGATTTGAGAAATGTGGGAGCAAAGGGGGTGAAAATCAACTGATCTTGAGGGCATGATGAATGTCTCTGTTCAATTGTGTAATAACTAATACTGTACAAAGTACTAGACTGCTGCACCGTCTAAAGGATAAGATTATTACTTCTTTATGGTGACATGGGAATGTGGTAGTGCAGTAGTTGTGGACTACCAAATGCGTCACTTTGGACTGTGAAGAGGGCAGAGGTGCTATGTGGATGCTATATGATTAAGCAATGGAGCATTCCATTATTGCATATTCTGATGGACATATGTAAGGAAAATATATGCCCTCAAATGATATTGATCGCGACTCAAGTAATCTTTCCACCGTTTAGATAGCTAAGGGTCCATTTGGCAGGAATTTTGGTTCTTGTAAAAGAGTTTCATTTACCTTAGTTAGGGCTCGTTTGACATGACTTTTGAGAAGCCAAAAAAAGTTTTTGAAATAGCTAAATTTATAAAGTATTTCTTTTAGTTAGAAGAGTTTTTAAAGAAAGTTAGTCCAATGTAACTTCCTCAAAAAGCATCTCCAGAATAGTAAGCTGTTTTAGAAATTAGTTTCCAAACAAAACTAAGGTACTTTCCTTATTAAACTCTTCTACGGAAAACAAAAGCAAATGCAAAATTCATGTCAAACGAGTTCTTAATATTGAAAACATTTATAAAATAGCTCCTTTCGAAAGAGCTTTTAGAGAAAGTCATATTGGTCTAACTTGCTCTAAAAACTCTTCTAATTAGAAGTACTTTTATAAAATTAACCAAATGAGTTCAAAAGCAGCTTTTGAATCACAAAAGCTCATTTTGACCTCTAAAAAATATGCCAAACAAGCCCTAACATCGACTTTACTAGGAAACCACGTGGTATTAGACAGCCATTATCCTATTGTTTATTGTTAAATACGTCAAAGGCAAGTTTTAGGTTTTATGTGTTCCTTGAGTTATGTTGATCATGTATAGTTTTTGTTGGTCGATCGGTGGGTCATATTTTATTCATGAATGAGATGCACGTCCGAACTTCTTGTTGGATGAATTCAACACGGAGATGTGGATGAGGACCTCTTAGTGCTATTAGAACATGATAAGTTGGAATCTCTATTGGATGTTGATGCTACCAAAAATCGTACCGTTTATTTTTGAGCTTGATGATTGAGAATGAGCACGAATAGAATCTTTCAATACATGAAACAAAGGCGTCGAAGTATGTCATTGTCGCCCCTCCGATGCTTAAATTAGAGAAAGAATATATGCGTGGGGCTATAACTTGAAAATTATGTAAAAACGTACATGAATAATAAATTGAAATCATATATTTATAGAGATGGGTAGCATACTCGTAGTGGGTTTAAGCTAGTTGAAAACCCTTACTTGATTTTAAGAGTCATTGGGTGTTTGGGAGTCACACCATGTCGAGGAGTTGCTATTTGATTAATACTGTGCGATTTATGTTTTGATAAGGATGGAACTTTGGTGATGGAGTTCCAGCATGATAGGACAAATGAGATATAGCATGATCCAATGTTATGAGGATAGGATCCAAAAAATATATATTTGTAGTTCAATATTTCATAAGAACTCAAATTTTTTCGTTATTTCCAAAGTGACCAGCCAGAAAAAATCAAGATTCTTGATTTTTTTATTGTTAGATTAAAAGAATGACAAATGATTTCATGCTTTATTTTTATTTATTTTCAATTGACAAGTAATTTCATTCTTTATTTTCATAATTTTTCAATATCAAGAATCGAGCTGAATTAGAACCGATTGGTTCAGTTCCGATTTGATTCTATAGCTGGATCTGAAATCAATGGTTCCATTTCTAAAATTCTCATTGGTACTTGATTCAAATCGAATTCCTTCATTACCAAACCGTGTCCACTCCTAGATTCTATAATTTTACTGTTATTAGAGTACAATGGCAAGAAACAAACACACAAGGCATGTTTGGCAAACCGGTTAAGGATTAAAATAATCCTATCTAATTCTTATTCGGTGTTTGGTTAATTAATGCCAAAATTAAATTAATACTAACCTTCTTTATTTAACCGCATAAAATTAATATTCTATGTGAAATTGGGTTTAGGTCGTATTATTCACTAATTTATAAATTAAAAAAAGATTAATTAATGGAATTACATAAAATTACTTGCAAGTAAATAAGAGCTAAGAATTTCAATTGTAAGTAAACAAAAAAAGTTATAACTAAAAACGTATAAGCTAAAAAATTCAATGATGGATAAAAAATCACTTTCAAATGAAAATTTCGTTCTTACATTAAAAAAAAAATTGTACACACGTGAAAAATTCATTTATAAGTGCAAGAACTTCTAACCGCTGTTATCAACTTTACAATCTCTGATCTCAACCAATAAAGGACTACGTGTTTATCCTAAACACGACAGCAGTCAGCAGTTTGTGCCAAAGAAACAAGAAATTGAACTTCTCGTCCCCACAACAAAGATTGCCACAACCCAGTCTTCAATACAGTTGGCATTTTTCTTTCATTCACATAACAATAACATTGCAACTACGCGAAGGAAGCTATAGAACTTAAAATCCCTGTCCTAAAAAAGCTACATTCTTGACAACTAAACAACTAATAAAACAGAAAAAACTAATCGGATTGATATACGTGGTGAGACTATTTGCTAATTCCTATGAGAATAAACACAAGCCTTGATGTGAAGGATCACTTGGAAGTGTGCCAACTACTAGATCGTTCGGCACACATCACGACCTTGTAACTGGCAATGCTATAGATGATCCTTTTGGATAACATTACCTTGTACTGTCAACTTTACAGTTATTAAATCCCAGAAACATTTGCACAGCTAGCTTCTTTTGATGAAACATCTTTCACTTATTGATATATATATGTCACCTGAGACGCGAAGAATTATAGTGTTGGTGGGCTTTGTTCTCACTCTGTATCCTATCTGCATACATTGGCAGGGAAATGATCTCATTGATTTCGTTCAACAAGATCTCCTCCGTGATATTGTCATTTATGCTTCTCATCACCTGTTTTAGTTTTGGGAAACACCATTACAGGGTCTGATAGCAGACGAAGAATCTGGAGACAATATATAATGATTATGGGATATAAACATACCTTCCTGTAGGTGTTAAAAGTCATTTGGGGTCCCTTTATCTAGCCTCACCTTCATACACACCCATGCGTCTTCCTCAGAATTCCAAGAACACTTGATAATGTTTCCCGAGTAGATTGAGGGGTCAGACACATCTATGAACTCATTAAAAAATTGATTAGAGGGAGAACTGCCAGAGGATGATAAAAAAGAGTAAAAAGGGGCTGAGGCAGTAACAACAAGTCAGAAGTGAAACATTAAAATGACATGGATGCAATTCATCATAAACAAAGACAGACCCATTTTAACATACCACACAAAGTTCCAGTTTGCTGCTAATTAGCATGTCTGCATCGCTAGTGTACAACAGAGCAAGCTGTTTTAAAATGAAATTCATTTGTTCTATACCATCCAGATAGGCTGAATAACGTGCACATTGGGCTTGCACCTCAAACCAAATGCGAGTTCTATAAT